TGGGGTTTTTTCATTTTAATTCTGCATCATTCTCCATTTTTCCTATCATAACCATGCATGTCCTGGGAGGCTAAGACCAAATCATATCTTAAAATTTCTCACACTAAATGAACTTTTTTTTAGGTTTTAAAAAAATTCCTGTCCATAATATTAAACATTTTTTGAAAAATTAAAAGGCTAGTGCGCTTAAGTATTTTTTGATGGCTTTCTTTTGCAATAGATGGCACAATTTGTACCTTCCTTCCTTCCTTCCTTCCTTTGGGTTGTACCAATCATTAAGTGAGATGGTTCGATCTTGTTACCTTTCTTTTCTTTCACTTAACTATCACAGCTTATTGTAATGCATTTCTTTTCTTTTCCTTCTTTCTCACTTTGCAACTGGCTTTAGTACTTGCACACACACGAAAAAAGCCAGGCAGTCTGCCTCTGACATGCTTGGTCTGCATAGCTGCATCTGGTAGACAGTATGTGTGAGCAACAAATGTGTGGATCTCTAGCAGAATAGCGTGCGGTGGTGGTGGTGCTGCTGCTGCTGCTGCTGCAAAGCAGGGAGAACGCTCCTCGCTCCAGGCTTGCAGTGACTGAAAGCTGTTACCAGCCTTCAGATGGTATGTGCAGAGGGAGCTGATTGACCCTTGTCTGGGGGCCCCGGAGGCTTAAGCTCTCGGTTGCAGCAACAACAACCAACCAAAAATTCCCCCCCTTCTGCATGAATGGGACACACCCATCGACGGCACCACCGGCACAAAGACCTCAAGGACTGTGAGAGCCCGTAGAGGTGGTGCGCTCTGGAGCGGGGCAGGCGTAGCAGGGATGGGGAGCTTTGGAAATCGCGAATGGCTGCTGCTGCAGCAGCTGCTGCAAAGGCAAGATGACTTAATTCCCTCAATCTGCCCCCATCGCTTTCTTAGTTCATTTTCATGGCGACTTCGGGTCCTTCCCCCCACTCCTCCCTCCTACCTTTTAGGCATCTTTCCTTCACCTCCACAATCTCTCTCTCTTCCAACATGTAGCGAGAGAGAGAGAGTGTGTGTGTGTAAAGATTAATAATACAGCCAGGAAAGATATTAAGGCCTCCTCCGCTGCTAATTACAATCACGCCACGTATGGCATCTGTTTATCACCTGCTTCTGAGTGGCCCTGGAAGCCTCTGCTTCATGGTTGAGGAAACTAACAAATGGCTAAGGAATAGGAATAATTTAACTCTTTTTCTTCTCACTTTCTCTCCATCAGAGCACCGATATTGCCAGGGGCTTTGAAAGAGGATTGGAGCCAGAAAAAATCATCGGAGCCACAGACTCCTGCGGAGATTTAATGTTCCTAATGAAATGGTGAGTGTGCTTCTTTATTTTTAATTTTTTTTAAAAAAAAAACCCCATCCTGTGGTCTGATAACTGCATATTTTCTCCTTTGTGAAATAATCCCAGTAAATTAACTACTCTTGGGTGAGGCGCCATGGTTTAATGGCAGTTCCTTGGCTGGGCTTTGTTCTCCTTGGAGTGGATGTTAAGCTTCTGCTATACAGATGCAAGTCCACAGTTGTATGGATTTTGCTTAAAGGAGGGCAAATTTACTGCCTCTCTCCTTGTCTCCCCAAACCAGAGAGAGCACAGGAAATCCTTCTGGAAAGGTTTTGACTTGCCTCTTGTTTTTGTTCCTGAGCTTATCTCTGCGGGAAGCCTCTCTGCAGACAGGCAGGGCAGCAGAGAGACAGACAGAGAGTTGGCTAGGCTGCATATGCAGCAGCTGCCCCTCCCCCAGCAGAAGCGGAGACAAAGAGCAGAGCCTCTCTTATCAGCCAGCCAGAGGTTACAGCATAGCTGCCTTTAAGAAAATTGCCTTTTGCTGCTCCCCCCAATGCCCCCCCTTCCTCCTCCCAAATTCCATCAGGATTCCATCTTGGGAGAGCAGGTCTTCCCCCACAACAAGGCACTGAAGAAAATAAGCCCTTGTCCTCCTTTCCTGTCTCTAAAGCTGCCTGGGCTGAGATAGATGCGGCTGCTGCTGCTCCTCGCAGTGGGGGCTGGGATCCAGCTGCAGGCCACTCTTTAGAAAAGGAAAGGGGGGGGGAGGAAGGAAGGAAGAGCAAGGACTAAAGGGCTTGGTAGTTTTCCACCATCATGTTTTCTTTGTTATGTGACCGAACGCTGGGGGCAGTGAGTGAATGCAAACGGTCTCTGAATTATCCTGTAATGGTTGCAATCCCTAATTTGGGCATTCCTGTAGCATCACCTGAATTGCAGTTGTAATTTAGGAGTGATTGTATACTTTGAGGCTCTAATTTTCAAATCCCAGATTATTTATCAAAGTAAGATCTAAAATGCTTACTGTTTGAATGTTTGAAGGGTTATCACTGTCAGCTGATTCTGAAGGACAAGAAATGTATTCAGTAAAGCTAATAGAGTAATATTTAGACATTATCCTGAATATATATAGTTTATTGCTGTATTTACTGTATATAAAAATTACAGTAAATACTATAGAAAAGTTTGCACATTCTAGTTAGATTGCTTTTACTGATTTATAAAAGAACTGAATTAAAAGAATTAGACTTGACTCAGGTTTAGATTCAAACCCAGGCTTGTAGGCCAAGATCAAATTATTCCTTAGAGTGCATTTGCACTCAGACCAGTAAATTACCTAGTTTGAAAGAGCCTAATCTCTTAAACAGTGGAATTAGAACATTCTTAGAACAGATTGGAAAGTTCAGCTACACTAATTGTAATTAACTCTGTGCTGTGTTTTAGATTTTTTTTAAATCTTACCTTTGAAATTGATGGGCTCTATGTTCATTAATAACACATATTAGCTATGTTAGCTCTTTAACTCAGTTATTGCAAGTTGCAGTCCTATTACATTTGCTCTAGAGGAAAGCCCATTGAAAATCAGATTTTCTAATGAGATTTTTATCAAATAGCAATTCTTTGCAAAGTTAATAAACAGTAACCTTTATAGCCATAAGAAAAGCTATATTTTCACCTCTGCTGGAACATGAAATATTGTACTTATTGCTTTTTTTTTTAAAGGAAAATTAAGGCTACAATTGTAAAATCTTGGCTTAAGCATATTTATTTGTATCAATTGTTATTGAATATTATCAATCTTAGTTACTGATTATTGTAAATGCTGTTGCATTACAGACTATAAGTACTAATGTTGGGGAACATATTTAAAAGAAAAGTCATCCTCTAATTTCTTTTATCAGAATTGCTGGCATAGTTATAGGGCAGGAATGTCAAACTCGCATCAACCCTTGATTATTGCAACTTCCCCCTCCTTTGCTAAACCAGGAATCGGCAGCGCGTCTGTCCCACAAGTTTGACACCCCTGTTATAGGGCATCCTGATAGACAAGAGTTCTGTCTCAGAATGTGTGTTTATCATTTGTGCCCCTTTAGTTAAATGGGTGAAGAGTAATTCTGATGAAATCTTTAGCAGAGTGCCATTAATTAATTAAAGTTTACTGCCTTAATCAGTACTACTGTTTCTTGAATGATAGTTAAATAGGTAGGCCAGGGGTAGAACTGAACAACAGACAAAGCTAATAAACCAACTGATGCTTTTTTTATTAGAATTCCTCATCCAGGTGTTACCCAGATGTTCCCTCCAGTACATAGGTGTCAAACTCAATTGTGCCATGTACATTTTCTGTTTGCTTAATGTTTTTACAATTTTTCATTTGGCTATAGGACCTTTTCATCTTAAATGACTTTGTATTAAGATTTTAAAATAGAAAATAAGTCTTGAAAATATCTGTAGAGAGTAGAAAAATACAAATTTGTATAAATACAAGTTCAAGGCCAAATGATATATCAAGAAAATGAAATTTAGGAATCTGAGGAACAGGGTTTTTTTGGGGGTGGGGGTGCATTGTAAACATGTGGAGTACTTTTCTGCCCCTGACTATCTTTATGCAGATCTCTTATGAAACTGGGCAAAATTGAATAAAAGATTCCAAAGATGGATGTACATTTCTACAATTTACCTCTAAGATAATACCTCTTAAAATTTTCAGTTTAGTTAATCAGGGGCAAAATGTTAGTGAACATATTTTTTAAAAACAGATTTGACAGATTTTTATTTTGGCATTTTACTTGAAAATACAAAGCTCTTGTAAACAATTAAAGAGGAGATATCTCCCTATGTTCTCTTCCCTTTTGCAATTCAGTCATTTTGTTGATGGAGAGAATTGTGGAAAAATACATTCTGTCCCCTTTATCTATTATAGCAGTTAAGGATGTGATGAGATTTCTTTTTGAATGTTAATAGCAGTTACAACACCAGTAAACTTTCTGCAGCATTAGGCTCATCCGTTTCAAAGGATTGGATCCATTGGACCAGCAGTGTCCTCTCACTAAGCCACTAGCTCTCTCCAGAGTAGCTGGGACAAAAGAAACTGCTGGCAGTATCCATCCATAAATAAATTGTCTGGAAGGAGCAATTGCTGATTAAAGCAGCAGCATATTCACATTGAAACATACAATATTATATGATATGCAGTAAACGTAACTAAAATTCATAAAAACAATGGGTATCAAACACTTTGCAATACCTGCCTCCCTTCATAAGCCCAAATTAATTGGCAGTTCAGACAGGCACTTCCTGGTAGTGCTGTTGGTGGTTTCCTAGTGATTCTGTTTTGTTATTTTTTCTATTATAAAATAGGTATGGAAAAACTTGTTTATTTTTATGGGGCCACCTGTTGGATGGAATGTTTTTGCTTAACCAGTTAGTGACCAGTGCTCCTTTTGTTGCTTTTTGTTTATCTCTTTAGGAAAGACACAGATGAGGCTGATCTGGTTCTAGCAAAAGAAGCCAATGTGAAGTGCCCTCAAATTGTGATAGCATTTTATGAAGAAAGACTGACCTGGCATGCATACCCAGAAGATGCTGAAAACAAAGAACGGGAAGCAGTGAAAAGCTAAAGTGGCTGGGGTTCTCTGTCCATCCATAATTGTACATATCCACCCCCCCCCTTTCCCTCTGCCCAAATGCATCCATGGAAATGTGCTTATTACTGTGCTCGACAGGAGAAATGTTGATATTGGTTGGTTTAGTCATAACATAAATGGTGTGAGTCACGTTTGGTTTCCCTCCAGGAGATTGACATGCAGTGTGGAGTTCTATCACCCCATCATTAATAACAATAATGGTTCTTGTTTTTAAAGCGTCCTCAGAGCCTCTAGGCCTTTTCTTCCTGCCTGGCTGTTTAGTTCTGCCCAATCATGTTCTGTGTAGAGAATTGTTAAGCATCATAGTTACTGATTTAAAAATGGCAGGAGCTCCCTGAATTCAGGACAGACTCAACTGACCTAGCCCAGGCTTTGGATTCTCAGATCACCAAAATAACAAGCAAGCTAGATCTTGGGGAAGGGGGAAGGGCTTTTTCTAGTTTCTTTTAAAATTGCTAACATGTTGCTTGAATTGCATTCAAAATGTTAGGTAGCCATTTTCACCCAAATTTTCTAACTTCAGGTCAGAATAGGAACCTTTCGAACAAATAAAAATTAGTTGGCAAGGGTAACATCCCTCTTTTGACCCTGTATTTCTCATCTTATTCCTTTCATTCCTGCGTATCTCTTCCTTATTACTGGTGCTATTTGGATGACATGTTTAGTTAGATTATAAGGGTATCTAATTAATCATGTGTGTACTCCAAAAATTGAGTTAATCAACCCATTGCCTATCCTGGCAACAAGTCCTTCCTCCTCTTCCCCCCCTCCCCCGCCACGACTGTTACTTACTAGACAATTAACTCCCTCTTTTAACAGCTGTGATCAAAATGTACTCCTAGAGAAGCCCTATAAAATGCTCCTTCTGTGGGCATTCCATTTCTATAGTCCTTTTGATTTTTCATTCATTGCACTCCAGGTGTGTATGTTGGGATGTTTAACTCTGTGAATCTGCAGTGACACCAACCTTAATTGCATTGTGCCAACTCTCTTTTAAATTTACTTTCCCAAGGGGTGGAGGGTACAGCATGAAGTAAGAAAGTAAGTGATGCCTCCTGTGAGGACTAAATACAGTGTCACTGAATGGCCATCTCTGTCATTTGGGATCATGTGCCCTGAGTGTGCCAATGTGAATTAATTGGCTTAAAGAGAACTGGAACATTCATGTTGCACAAATAGGGCCTTTGTGTTATGTAGGTAAGTAGATCAGCCAAACATCGTGTCATACTTGGAATCTTTAAATAATTCCTTTTTCCTTTAAAAAAATTGATTTGTTTATGGGCTCTCAGTTGTATCTTTAGAGACTTTCCCACCATATTCTCTGTGCTCTTTCATCCTAGTATGTCAATTCATAACATTCGTATCTGTAAAATAGATTTTACAGATAAAATACTTTAGCAATTTAGCCAAAATACCATGTTATAGAATAAGGATATATTGGACTGCAAATCCAATTATCCTTCACTGGCTATGCTGGATGGGAATTGCAGTTCATGAACAGCTGGAGGGTCATACATTGCCTGTCCCTGGTTTGGCATGTTGACCATTAATAAATGCTATTTCAGCAGAGGCTTTCTATCTTGTTCTTCAGCTCCAGGACAGGGTAACAGAAAGCAAAGGCCCTTGGCAGAGCCCTTTCACGTGACAAAGCCCATGCGTATTTTATTTCATGTGTAATGCCTGCATTGTGTAGCATGGTTGGGATTTCATTTTCATATTCCACTCCTGCAGACTCACTTGGCTGCATCAGCTTTGAAAAGTGCCAGTCTCCTACTACAGTATCTGAATTTCTGGATACCTCACAATGGACTGATACTAGTAAGATTTGATAGGAGCTTGGCTCATTACTAAAATGGTACAGGCTATTTTAAAATGGACAGTAGTCATTAACATGAATTCAGAATCTGAATTCATGCGCTTTGGTCTCTGCTGCTTTATCAGTACTTTTTTTTATATATAGTGAGGAGAGATGCTCTTACCCATGCTTGATCAGAAAATCCCACCACAACTTACTTCATTTCTGCATTGTTGAATTTCTTTCCTTTTGTTTAGCAAGCAGATGAAGTAAATTGCCCTCTTCCATTTACATCTTTTGTACCCTGATAATCCATCAGGAATTGCAACTGGGCATGGTGTGATGTAGCATGACATGAATTACATCTGTGACACAACTAATGATTCATATGATTGATTAAGCCCATGGGGTTGTGGGTCATACATGACTTCACAAGTAACAATAACAATTTTGGTAAATGCCCAGCATCAGAAAATTGGTGGCATTTTTATTTTGGTGGATTTCCCTAGATTCAGTTGATAGTTGTACTTTTGTCAACCACATCAAGATAAAACATTTATGAAACATGTATTCTAATTTGTTTGGATTCCATGTATGTAGTTTAAGAATCTATTTTGCAACCAGTCCATCTTTCAGTGGTTTTGAGGCAGGTTTGCCTTTAAAATATGCAGCCCCCATGACTTTGCTCAGCATATTCTGTTGGAACTGAATAGATTTTTACTGTTTGCTTTCTGAGTGGGGATGGGTGACACTTTTAAGAATTTACTTTGAAAGAGATTTTTTTGAAAGAAATGCCCTGCTGCTAAATTAATAGAAATACCTTTCTTTTCTAGAATCCTTATTTGGTGCAGTCTTTTTCAACAATGTTAAACACGGTATGTGTGAAAGTTCAGACTAGATTGGACATTAGCTTTGCATTTTTTATTCCACTTGAAAGCTGCCACATATAGACAGAAGCATAGCTGCCTGCATTTGGCTAATGGCCAGCTATTGCTCTTGAATCCCACTGAACTTCTTAATTTTTGACTATTCGTTCTTCAGTGTTGGGGGTGTTTTCATTCATTCCTCAACCACATGAGCTGGAAGAGGACAGCAGTTGCAAAACAGGATTTGGGAAGCTATATGGATTTAACTGTTTGCATGTGATTTGTACCACTTACATACTGAATAAATGATTACTTGAGGGTTTTTTTTTTTAGTCAAGAAGAGTCTCGGGTTCTGATTTTTGCATGTGACTCTCAAATGAGAAGAATATCCCTTTCATCCATTATGCTTCACAGAATACTAGTTACCCTGCCCCACTCCCTTGGAATTCTCTAATTTCTGTTTGACAGCTGGAGAGGTCAAATTATTATGTATTGTACGGCTACTATCAAGGATAAAAGACAATTTACTAATAGCCATCTGTCTGAAATGAAGCAACACATAAAGATCCCTGGGTGTTCCACATCTTCCTGAAAGGGAGACTATTCTGATTTCTAACTCCTTCAAGAACAGAACAGAGAAAAACAAATAAAAAATCCAAGTTTCCACAGCTTACTACCACCCTACCTAAAAATTGCTAATTCCAGCAGAAAGCAATTCTGGAGGTTTTCCCTATGTGCTTGTGTGACACATTCATTGATTTGAACCCACCCCCTAACAAGGACAAGGCCATGACAAAAAAATAAATTGAATAATTAATGACCAAAAATAATTGCCTATAAAACAAGGTACCCATTTGTAAAATTCAATGTTTTCTGTGTAATGCAAGTCCATCATTCTGCAAACAAAAGGATACATGCATTTACAAGAGGCCATTTTCTCCCAACAAACTGCAAGAACAATGGCCATGGGGTAAAGGGGAATTATACTGGAAAGAAGAACAATGGTAAACCAAACTGGGTGGAGATGGAAGAATGAGGAAATGACGAGTATCTGGAAGGAGTCAGGAGGAGAGGGACAAAACACCACCTTTGTGTTAGAATGAAGACTAAAATGTGTTGGCAATAATTTCAGCTCCCTTCTACACGCCTCTTCTGTGAAATAAAAAAAAACAACACATGGTTACATACAGTATTTACCCTTGATGGTTTCATTTGTTAGGCCTATTAGCTTTGGTGGGGAGTTGAGTCCCTTAGCTTATGGGGGGGGGGGGGATAGTGTCCAGCTATTTGGTAGAAGGTGGCTTAGGAAAAAAATGCACAACATCTGAAGAGTCAATTCTGAGAGCAAGAGTGGCAGGTAGTCCTTGACCTATGACATTACAAGACTGCCCCATAGTACTTACAACCTGGTTTCAAAGTTACAATAGCCATCTTCCCCTTCCCACCATGTGACCACATTTCAGACACTTGGCAACTGACCTATATTTATGCTTACAGTTCTATGATTGCATTTACTTCAGATTTTTGGCCCATAGCAATTGATTGGTTCCTTAAAGACCATTGCATTTAAAAAAATATCTTAAAACTGGGTTAGTCATGTGGGTGGCTTGCTTTACAGTCATCATGTAATATAGTCTTGAAGACTATATTTGCCTCAGAACCTTGCCTCCCCTTTAAAGGCTATATATACCTTTAATAATGGTTTGTTTTCTTCCCCTCAAACACTGGGCCCTCATGATTTACAGCATCATGTAACAAATTTCAGCCATCACTGAGGTGCTATAATTTGTCCTCATTATTACATTGCCATGATGCTCTAAATCACTCCTGGAGATTTCACCCATGCCTCAGTATTTATCTCTGCATTGTCTGTATTTTGTGAAAGTGGGCAAAGTGGTGTCGGAGGAGTATTGAACCTGGAGCAAGTGCTGTGGATGATTGATAGTCTTCCATTCCTTTCTGTGCTGCAATCCTGTAGTCAAGTCTAAGATGGAGAAAGTCTCTGCTGTTACTAACTAGGTTATTGGCTTTCCAGCCCATATCTTTTTCAGGTATTTTGGCTGGCATTGCCTCTTACCAGCTAAGTTCATTGGGTGAGCCAGAATCAAGTTGAATTGCAGGCTAAATAAGAGACATTTCATAAAGTGTTGAGGAATCAACTCTGATAACATTTAGGTATTAAAGTCCTGCTACCTCACCGATTTTGCCCTTATTTTTATTCTCAAATGTATTGGAGGGGAAGCTTAAGACAGCCTTGAGTACACCTTTCTTTCCTACCAGCCTAAAAGTTACCTTTTTCACCAGCAGCTGCTAATAGAAATTTTTACAGAGTTAATAAGGAAGACTTATGTGATTACAAGCACTTGTGTGTCAGGCTAAAAAGAAAAAGGCATTTTAGGATGTTGGTAGCAATGCCATTAGTGAAAGAAAAAAAAAGACATTTCTCTTTCCAAGTATTTGCTGGGATTTTGAGATGGACTTTTGCAAGTATGTTATAAATGCCAACTCTCGTACAGCCTGTTGCATGCAGGCATGTAACTGATTTGTTGCCATGAGGGGAGAATTGAATAAAGTATACATTCTTGGCCTTCCTCCACTTCCACAAACTACACAATTTTAAATTTTATTTTGGATGCACCATTAATTTAAAATAGCACACACAGGACCCTTTCATCATTTGGCAAATTTGATGAATATCTGAAAGGTTCTTAGAGTTCTTTGTCAAACTTAAATGAAGCAAAAATAGGGCAACTTGACACTTGAAGTATTGCTTTAGCTACTGCAGTTTGAAATGCTAAAACATTAGTTTTCTCTACTGGCAGAAATGTACCCTAAGTACAGCAACAGCTTTAGTAAGTTCCACAATGTGACCCTTGATGGTGTAACCCTATTCAACAGCTCTTTTTTAAAGGCAAGAGTTCCTTTTAAACCATGAAGAAAGAATGCCCAAATTTTTTTAAAGGAAAAAAAAGTTTCAACTTTACCTGAAGATCATGTTAAGTTTGTCTTTCTTAGTGTAGTAGAACTAGCCAGCTAGTTCTGAATTTCCAGGATTTCTAAGTCATTCATGCTGCATTTAGGTGGCTTCTAAACTGATTCCACCTCCTCACTTTTTGGCTCCTGGTGTTAATGTTTCAATGGCACACACACAAAAAATGCTTTTTGGTGTCAGCTTTTTTGTGTCTTCTTGTATTTGGAAGTTGTGGGGATGGGCCATATGTGTATGATACATTGGGAGGTTTGAATCTTAGTTTTCTGTGTATCTGTTTAAATTGCACATTTTCAACTGATGACCACTCTCTGAATTTATCAGAATTTAAATTTATGGTAAGACTTCAATTATGTAGGTGCAGTTTTCTGATGCAACACTTTCTTAAGAGGCTATCAAACATGAATTGTTATCCTCGGTCACCTAAGCGTGGATTAAAATACAAAGACAATTAATTTTGTGTTAATTAAACTCATTAATTTTTGATTAACTATTTAATTTTTACCCAGGTGGCATTTAAATCTTCTCGGCTGTATGGGCTCTAATGATTTTTGTCTCCTCCCATCAGCAGGAAGAGGAAGAGGGGAGAAATCACCCCGCCAGCACAATTTGAATTATCTCAAAATCTCTATACCACTGCTGCCTTTTCTTTGTTTCACATGACCTACTACCTATCATTTTTGCCAGAACTATAGTTTTATGCAATTTGGCATTTAGCCCTATGACAAAATTGGTTCACTTTTGGCTCATAGACCTTTTCCTTTGGTTTTCTGTCTCTTTCGCTTTCTTTTCTTTTCTCTGCAAGTTTTCTAGTGGACAAAGGACATCTGAGATAATACCTCACTCCACTGCTTCAAAAGCAAACATTCAGATTTCTTCCCTTCTGAGAAATGAAAGAGAATTGGCTTAAGGAACTGCTCTGCTTTTGACTGAGCTTTTTGATTGCTTGAATCCAACTTTGTCTCTGACAGATAAGATTGCATGAATTGTTCACTGTGGGTCGATGCCACAATTCTTCATGCAACACTTTGAAACATTTGCAAAAGTATATCAAGTTGCAGCTTTTGCTTGCAACAAGCAGTCTGTGGAAGATTCATAGATTTGGATCCAGGTGAAAACACAAGCCCAATCATGCACAGAATGTGCAAAAAGGCCTTGGAGGTTTAATGCCCCTGGTGCTGTTTACAGAAATGAAATATATCCAGGTTCCCCATGATCAGTATTAAACTCCTGATGAAAAAGAGAAAGATGGTGTGTAACTTTTCCCCTCCCAGCCCAGCAATATATGCTGCTCTCCACAACAGAATGTCGAACTTTTGGCTAATGGGTGTGTCTGTGCATTTGTGTTAGACTTCCTTGGGGGTAACATTTTAGCCAAATAGGTTATGCTGATTTTTAAAGTGTGAAAATAATTTTTAAAATGAGCTCTTTGTTGTACAACTTGACATGTTACAAACGACCCCATATTTCTCATCTCCGCTCTTTCATATTTCTTGTATTGGTTCTAATAAATGGTTACTTTTCAGTACAGGATCTATTGTCTTTTATTCACTCTTCCCCCCCCCCTTCTTTTTTTTAAACCCCTCAATACTGTCTGGATATGGTTATATCTCATATACTTTGTTGCTGTTTAGATATGGAAGGTAGCCTTGACCTAGAGAATTTGACCAACTGATAAAGCGTAGTTGTTATGAAAATTTAGCTGTTTGCTTTACTGAATGTGCCCTTGTGCAATTGACATTGTATAGTTGCCAGTGATCTTTCGCTTTTCTGAAACTGAAACTTAGTTTAATCCCATTGTTCATTATTTTTTAAATTCTCCTTTCCCTTCCTTCTGTGATTGCTTTTAGCCAAATATTGTGGCCTCTAACATCCATCTAAAGTCACTTTCCGTCATGCTGGCTGGGAATAACTGATAGATTTGCAGGTCAGTAGCATAGCATTGATAGCTATTAGCTAATAGCATCTGGGGGATAATAGCTGATGACTGCAGTTCTATGGAAGCAGTTTTCTGAGTGGACTGCCCTACTCCCATTTTAGAGTCATCCTTTCCTGATTGTTGGGTAGTAACAAGATCAATATATAACCTTCAAATTAAACAGATCTTGAAATACCAGTCTATGTATCTCTGGCTGTGAGTCAGGGAAATTCCGAGCTTGGCTTCCCTTTCTCGCACTTGCTTAGGTTCAAGTGCTCTTTGTGCTTTCTCTCAATAGTTCCTGTGAGTGCAGCAGCCAGAAATGGGAACAGATTGCAATTTTTTTATACTAAAGGGAAAAAAATAATCTTATAAAAAGCAGAGAGAGCAAGAGAGCACCAGAGGTGGTATTCAGCCAGTTCTGACAGATTCTGGTGAACTGGTAGACGAAATTTGGAGTAGTTCTAAGAACCGGCAAGTACCATCTCTGGCTGGCCCCGCCCCCATCTATTCTCTGCCTCCCAAGTCCCAGCTGATTGGAGCCCCAGCTGATCAGCTGGGTCTTCTGTTACCTTGCACTGGAGAACGGCGCTAGAATCAGGTTAGTGGGGTGGGGAGGGAATGGGGATTTTACAGTATCTTTACCCTGGAGTGGGGTGGAAATGGAGATTTTACAGTATTCTTCCCCCAGGAATGGGGAGGGAATGGGGATTTTACAGTATCTTTACCCTGGAGTGGGGTGGAAATGGAGATTTTACA